CATTTATATAGTGCTCTGTGAACACAAATTAGTTAGCATAAATCAGTTAAATGATGAGAAATTAGGTGTCTATTTACTTGTGACCACTCAGTGTATATCTCCCTATCTGCAATTATCATCTCCACTTTATTTGCCGGGCTTATATACTAAAATAGAGGGCACCAAGAAAAGACTAGAGTTGCCAGGAAAAGACATGATCCTTCTTGAAACTCATGATGTGTTACGAGCGTCACGTTACTTCCGCTGTCGTAACAGCACCTAAAAATGTACCACATTCCTTACATTTATACTTCGCCTTGATATAAATCACACCTATAACTTTACAACTTTCCTTATACTTATTACTTTTCTTGGTATAAATCACACCTACACATGTACCATCTATATACTACTAAAACTCTGAGATAGTTTGTTTGTTTGTTTGTGTGCTTGTCTGTAATTAAATACGGCAAAATCGGCACACAGTACCACCATGTTTGTAATGAAATGAGAATAGAAACAGAATAAAACAAGTTTCGTTAAAATCAGGCCACAGGTTACCGAGTTAGCACCGTTTTTCGGTTTACTTTTATGAAATTTTCTAGCATGAGTAATTTTACATCGCACTACCATTCGCGATCTTTACGAAAGTTCTTCATTCAAATCTATTTCCCTGTCAATGTTCCAATCTTCTTTGAAAAATTAAATGGTCTTTCCTTTTACTCCCGATCGACAATCAAATATCCTTTCTTGAATTATGAATGACACGAATGTGTTATTGACACCCTATGTTTTCCTGAAGAAGAATATAAATCACACCTAGAAATGTCCCACTTTCCTTGTATTTAATACTTCTCCTTGATATAAATCACACGAAGTAATGTACCACTTTCCTTATATTTAATACTTCATCTTGATATAAATCACACCTAGATATGTACCACTTTCCTTATATTTAATACTTCTCCTTGATATAAATCACACCTAGAAATGTACCACTTTCCTTATATTTAATACTTCTCCTTGATATAAATCACACCTAGAAATGTACCACTTTCCTTGTATTTAATACTTCTCCTTGATATAAATCACACCTAGAAATGTACCACTTTCCTTGTATTTAATACTTCTCCT